CTTCTTATCGAAGACCTAGAAAGACCCAAAACGTCTTCTTATACAAAGCTCTTCTCATATAAAACCAAGGAGATGGATATGGTATTTTCAATAGAGGACCAAGTCATTGAAGAGCAAATGTTCTTATCATTGAATTCCAAGTGTTCTTCTCATAGAAGATCAATTGCCCTTCTTTTGGAAAACCAAGTTCTGGTCTTCCCGTGAAATATCAAGTGGTGTTCTTAGGAAAGAGTAAATGCTCTCCATATAGAAGAGCAAGTGACAAATTGTTCTTCTCTTCTCTCTACCCATTTAAACCAAGTTCTCTTCCCATTGAAGTCCAAGTGCTCCTCTCATGGATGACCAATTAATCATCTCTTAGAAGATCAAGTTCAAAAAAAGAAGCCCTCATTGACGACCTCCTTATATCTTTTTTCCAGTGTGACCAGATCTAAAATAGTGTTGCAGCTAAACCAGCATAAAAATAGTACTAAAAATGCCGAACAAAAAAATTAAAATGCCAAAAAATAATGCTAAATATAAATACGTTTTTAAACCCTGCAACACTATGTGTTTGGGGTGTTATAAGTTTGATTGGGCCAAAAATTATGTAACTTTTCGAAATTTTGGCTTCCCACATAGAAAAGTATATATTGGTCTTCCAATCTCGCTGAGCTAATCCGATCTAGCTATGTTAATTTGCAATCACGCTAAAGGTCACAGTTATTGACCAATCGGCGCGGAATTTAGCATGAGGCTAGAACTTAGGACTAGGCAGCAGCTTTCCAATTTGGATGGTCATCGGATAATGTTGATCGGGTGAAATTGACCATTAGTTTTGTGTTAAAAAAAAAACAATTTTCTCATTATACCGCGAATAATAGACGAAAATGTCACGTAGATATCGATAGTGAAGATATCAGATATTTATAGCGACATATATTCGCTAGAATGCTTACATCTCAAAAATAGCTTAACTGATTTTGACAAATCTTGTCAATTCAGAATGCCCTCTTGACATAAAAGAAAAAAACCTAAACAAAAATGCATGAAAAGATCCCAATAAAGATGAGAATATTGATTTTGTGATATCTTCTTATATTTTTCCATTTTTCCACTTTTTTGTCGCATGAGATATTTTCATTTTGAATTACAAATATTGAATTTCACATTTTGTAATATTTTTACTTCTTACAAAACTATATAGATAGGATATTATATACAGGGCACATTTATGACCCGATCCTCTCGAAATATTCGATTGAGGTAGGGTTAGTGTCAGAACAGGAGCCTGACACGTCACTGAAAGTTTTCTGACACATCATAATTTTTGTTCGATCCTTAGGAAATTTTAAATGGAGGTTCGGTATCAGCCCTGCCAATCATTTTGGATGGTCATCGGATAACAGTTAGCGGAAAAATGGAAAAAATACCACAACGTCTATTCCACTGAAATGCTGAAAATGAATTTCAGCCGCATTAATATAGAGAAACCTTAATTTACAAATATTTTTCTGAATAGCCATTATTGTGACTCTCTTTTCTTTAGCTTTAATATAGGGCAAATTCTATAAGAATATGCATTACTTCGGTCCAAACCATGCATTTTTTTTAAAGATGACAGGTTTTTGAAAAAAAAAAATGGTTTCAGATCTATGAAGGCTATTCGGAAGGAGGACCAATAAGGTCCAACATTTGTTTTTAAATGTAATATGATTTTATTTAAATGTTTTAAGTTCTAGAAAATTAGAAAACCGAATGATGATTAGAATGAGATCGTTTGTAATTTTAAAACTTTCGCAACCTTTATTTAACCTTTTCAATCCGCATCTAAAGTAAATGAGTTAATTCATAGTGTACAATATCATTCTATTTCTAATTTCTGCCTTTATAAGGTTGCCACATGCCACTGAAAACTCCTCCAACTTCGTTAATAAATTGTAAAACTAGACACTTCATAACAAATGAAGACTATTCCTTGAACGGGGTTTCATTTAACGTATTTTTAAATGTTTGCCTTTTCATATGTACTTAGCTTTTAGCATTGCTTTCTAAAACAGTAATTTCGTTCATAATTTTCACGTAATTTAATTTTTTACATTAAAAAAATGGATTTATAAAAAAGTACTAAAATATAAGAAAATTTTTGGACTAAAAAAGCTAAAAAATGCTAAACTAATAATATCAAAAAGCTAAGAAATCCAATATTTCGAGAGGATCGGGCCATAAATGTGCCCTGTATATAATAGCCTATCCATATAGTGTTGTAAGGAGTAAAAATATTACAAAATGTGAAATTCAATATTGTAATTCAAAATGAAAATATCTTATGCTACAAAAAAGTGACAAAATGGAAAAATATAAGTAGATATCACAAAATCAATATTCTCATCTTTATGGGATCTTTTCATGCATATTTGTTTAGGCTTTTTTTCTTTTATGTCAAGAGGGTATTCTGAATTGACAAGATTTGTCAAAATCAGTTAAGCTATTTTTGAGATGTAAGCATTCTAGCGAATATATGTCGCTATATATCTGATATCTTCACTATCGATATCTACGTGACATTTTCGTCTATTTGTACATTCACCGGAATTAAGAATATTCGCGGTTTAAAGGGAAAATTGTTTTTTTTTTAACACAAAACTTATAGTCTATTTCACCCGCTCAGTATTATCCGATGACCATCCAAATTGGAAAGCTTCTGCCTAGTCCTAAGCTCTAGCCTCATGCTAAATTCCACGTCGATTGGTCTATAACTGTGACCTTTAGCGTAATTGCAAATTAACATAGCTAGATCGGCTTAGCTCCGCGAGATTGGAAGACCAATATATACTTTCCTATGTGGGAAGCCAAAATTTCGAAGTGTTACATAATTTTTCGCCCAATTAAACTTATAACACCCCTAACACATAATGTTGAAGGGTTTGAAACGTATTTATATTTAGTATTATTTTTTGGTATTTTAATTTTTTTGTTTGGCATTTTTTAGCATTATTTTTATGCTGTTTTAGCTGCAACACCACAGATATAAAATATATCTGGTCACACTAGAAGATAGATATAGGGAGCTCTTCAATGAGGGCTTCTATGTTTTTTTGGGAACTACCTTTTATGAGAAACCAATTGGATTTCCATGAGAAGAGTAATTGGCTTTCTATGAGAAACACACTTGGTCTTTTTTTGAACTTGATCTTCTAAGAGATGATTAATTGGTCATCCATGAGAAGAGCACTTGGACTTCAATGAGAAGACAACTTAGTTTAAATGAAAAGAAAGAAAAGAAGAGCAATTGGTCTCTTGCCTTCCATGGAGAGAATTTGCTCTCTCCTGAGATCATTACTTGGTCTTCTATTGGGAAGAAGACCATATTCATCTTCTATTAGAAGACTAATTTGACTCCTATGCGATATCTTCTTTGTCTTCTATAAGAAGACTACTTGGTCTTATATGAGAAGACTTTCAGGGCTTTGTATAAGAAGACATTTTGGGTCTTTCTAGGTCTTCGATAAGAAGATCACTTGTGCTTTCAATAAAAGTCGACTTAGTCTTCTGTAGGAAGACCACTCGGTCGTCTGTAGGTAGGGGACTTTGTTGTCAATACGAAGACCACTCGGTAGGAGGGCAACTTGGTCTTTTATAAGAAGGCCATGTGATCTTCCATGAGAGGACCACTTTGTCTTTTATGAGAGCCCTACATGGTCTTTTATTGAAGGCCTTCAGGAAAAAATATCGCTTGTAATTCTATTTACTTTTTTATGAGAAAAGAGAACTTAGTATTTTAAGAGAAGACCTCTCGGTTTTTAAGGAAAGACAACTTGTCACTCCTTGATAAGACCACCACTTGGCCATCTAGGAGAAGACCCACACTTAGTATTTTAAAAGGACTTGGTTTTCCGTGAGAATACTATATCTTCTTTTTCTATAAGAAGAAAAAATACCCAGTCTTCCATGAGAATACGACAACGTAGCCTTCTTAGTCTTCCATGAGAATAACTAATTGGTATTCTTTGAAAATATATTTTTGGCCTTCTGTTAGAAGATAGAAACTTCTGGGTTTTCTATGAGAAGACCTTTCGCAACCTCCATTAGAAAATTTCTGGGTCCTCTTTTAGAAGGCATTCTGGGCCTTACGTGGGATGACCTTCTGAGTATTTTATTCTAAAAAATTTTTGGACAAAAAAAGCTAAAAAATGCTAAACTAATAATATCAAAAAGCTAAGAAAAATGATAAATGCTAAATGAAAATTTTGCTGTTAAATACCAAAAAATTAATGTTAAATTTTGCTTTCCCCACTGTGTGTGCCAAATGTCACGTTGCATTTGTATCGAAGGCGAACAGAATGAATTTTCTGTTGCACAAGGAAATCGTGCTGAAATAACAATAGAAATAAAACAAATTTTCCATTATTTCTCTTATTGTTGTTGTTGTTGTAAAGAGCGTAAGATGAAGCTTTAATCTACACGTCATCGTTCCATGTAGTTGTATATTTATTTTTTAATTATGTCTTTAGTGCCTGTCTGTCTGTCTGTCGGTCGTCGTTTGTAGCATAATTCGTTGGATACAGTTTTTTCGCGAAACTATTTTTGTGTCACGTAATTTCTTCTTGATGGCATTGAGAAGCGGATATTTTAATGAAAACTATATAGTATGAAGCAGGTAGTAACGATTATAATTGCTTTTAGGCAAAAATAATGAATAAATCTAATTGCAGCAGGTGAGATGAAGTAATAATAAAACAGCTCCAAGTAAAATCGGTTTCAAATACGAAAAATAAAACTATATATGTTGAACATAGATCAAGAGTAATTATTTTTACACATACGGAATCGAGAAGATCCTATCCCTCTACGTAAAATTAATTAAATTCGAATATTCATTTGTTTTAAATTAATTCTGGAAGCCAAACATTGTTGCACTTACAGCGCAAAAAAGAATGTCAAAAATATCCATCGATTTTATATTCAACATGACTTCAAATCAAATAAATTTTGTGTATTTTTTATAATTTCTCTTCCAGGCCAAGTTATTTCGCATTTTCCAAGAGGTTATGAATGCCGGCCGTGATGCCCACCACGAAGAACTGCGACGCCTGGGAACATATGTTGTGAGGAAATTTGTTGAAACCGCTCCCAACAATCCGAAAATCTATGCCGAATTGCTGTTCTACAAGAGTGTCAAGGAAGCCAATGAAGTTGAATCCGGCTACTGTGATGCCTATGAATCGTAAGCATTCATTTCAGTTTTTTTTTTTCATTTTTCTAAAACAATGATAAATCGTTTAGGTTGTTGACCAATTGTAGTCGGCAACCTTGAGCCAGCCATATTGCTGATATACAATTTGAATATCTATTATACTGTAGTGCCTAAACACCATTGCCATTGCTCGTTAAAGGCCTTTGTCGGGCTTGTGAGATTGATTACTTAACAAATCCCCAGCCTGTCTGGTGGTGTAATGCATAATGTACGACGAAACATTAGTGAAATGGAAATGATGATGAATGGCTGTAAAAATCTCAGACGGTGGCGAATGGACTCTGTTTATGGCAGTGGCCTTCAGTGCGACAGTTGGGTGGTAGTTGGCCTTGATTGTGGCGTTTAGCACCCATTTTTCTATTATAAAGATTTTTCTTTATTTATTTTGTTGGCCTTAATGATGATTTTCTTTTTAAATTGTTTATAACGCCACCGCTGTCCACTTTTTATAATTCATCTTTTTCTTCTTTTCATTCTTCTTTGTAGTGGTACCAAAGGCACATGGACCGATGAACAGGAGGCTGAATTGCGTTTTCTATTTGAAGAAAATCAACGAAATCCTGAAACTGACAAGGGTAAGCAAAGTGTTTTTTTTTTTTGTTTTGTGTGTCTAAGTAGTTGTGATGAAGTCTTTTATTTGAGTCCAGTCGTCCCTTCCTTCCCCATCTACTTTGGATAACACTTTTTTTTTGCTAGGGAGATTCCATTGCTGCTGGCTTTGATGTGACATTCCGTTTTCTATTAACCTGTGGGTGAGGGTTTGAGACGTTCGATAATCTCACTGCATGGGATATTAGTCGGGGTTGCCGCTTTCCCAAAAAATGACAACCAATTTGTATATTCTTGATTTTAATTGTGGGCGATTCCGAATTTGGACGATTTTAATTCAGTCGATTTCGCTCGTCTATGAGAAGACCTTATTGTCGTCTATGAGAGACCTTCTGGTTTTCTATAGGAAGACCACGTTCAGCACTGCTATAGGAAGACCACGTTCAGCACTGCTATAGGAGGACCACGTTCTGGTCTTCTCCTTCTGTATGAGAAGACCTTCTCTCCTTCTGTACGAGAAGACCTTCTCTCCTTCTGTACGAGAAGACCTTCTCTCCTTCTGTACGAGAAGACCTTCTCTTCTTCTGTAGGAGAAGACCTTCTCTCCTTCTGTACGAGAAGACCTTTTCTCCTTCTGTGCGAGAAGACCTTTTCACCTTCTGTACGAGAAGACCTTTTCACCTTCTGTACGAGAAGACCTTCTTTCCTATGTTGAAGAGAAGACCTTCTCTCCTTCTGTACGAGAAGACCTTCTCTCCTTCTGTACGAGAAGACCTTCTCTCCTTCTGTACGAGAAGAACTTTTCTCCTTCTGTACGAGAAGACCTTCTCTCCTTCTGCATGAGAAGACCTTCTCTCCTTCTATACGAGAAGACCTTCTCTCCTTCTGTACGAGAAGACCTTCTCTCCTTCTGTACGAGAAGACCTTCTCTCCTTCTGTACGAGAAGACCTTGTCTCCTTCTATACGAGAAACCCTTCTCTTCTTCTATACAAGAAGTCATTCTACAAGAAGACTTTCTCTTTTTCTATACGAGAAGACCTTCTCTCCTTCTTTACGAGAAGACCTCCTTTTCTTCTATACGAGAAGACCTTATCTCCTTCAATACGTGAAGACCTTATACAAGAAGTACTTCTCTTCTTCTATACGAGAAGACCTTCTCTCCTTCAATACGAGAAGACCTTCTGGTCTTCTATAAGAAGAAGAATTTTTGGTCTTCGATAAGGTGAAGACTTTCTGGTCTTCTATAAGGAGAAAACCTTCCAGGCTTCTATTGGAAGAAAACCTTTTGGTCTTCTATTGGAAGATACCTACTGGTTTTCTATTAGAAGACCTTCTTCTCTTCTATAAGAAGACCAATTTCTGCTCTTCTATACGAAGACCAATTTCTGCTCTTCCATACGAAGACCAACTTCTACTCTTCCATACGAAGACCACCTTCTGGTCTTTTATACGAAACGCCTTCTGGGTTCTTTAGGAAGACCTTCCGGTACTCTCTACGAGTACCTTCTGGTCTTCTTTACGAAGATATTCTGGTCTTCTATAGGAAGCCTTTCTGGTCTTCTATACGAAGACCTTCTGTTCATCCATACGAAGACCTTCTGGTTTTCCATAAGATGTCTTTCTGGTCTCCTATAGGAAGGAAGTTCTTCCAGTCTTCTATAAGAAGTCTTTTTGCTTTTATTTAGAATACCCATTCTTCTATAGGGAGATATTTCCGTCTTCTATAGTACTGTCTTCAGGTCTGTAATTAGAAGGGCAGGCACCTGTTCTCCACTGGGATTTTGTAGGAGGCCATGTCTTATCTTCTATAGACTGGCCTCCTTCTTCTATGTAAAGCATTTGTAAAGCTATCGAAAGAAGACCTTTTAGCAGAAATGTGTGCTTGATGCGTTAAATTACAACAAATTTCTTAAAAATAATTTCGGTATGAAAACAATTCAAGAACAACGGCAGCACTGGCGATAAAACTGCTGCTGACAATAGCATCTAGATGATTTGAAAGACACTCGTGCCCTTACCCTTAACTGCATGTTTTTGGCTTTTGGCAGCATTTTAAGTGCTTACTCGGTCAAAGTCCGACCAGTGATTGATTTAACAAGTCAATTTGAATGTGTTGACAGTTGCCTGATTGAAATAATTTTCTTTATTATCGCCCCCATGCAAGCAACAACAACACCAGCAATAGTAGAAGAGCAGCATAGCACACACACACAACATTACTGTCATTGTCGACTACGACGCCATCATCATCGTCATCGTTGTTTGTCATCAGCTGCGTCCATTTCTCCTTAATGACTTTGCTCGATGAGTTTGTGTTTTATCCTCATCCTTTTTTGTCTCATATCCTTGCTTTGTGACAATGGATAGAACCGGCTCCTGGCCGGCTTCCTTGACTCACTCGTATTGTCTGATTAAGCTTTGACATTTTTATTTCGCCAATATGTCCGAGATTAATTGTTATGTGTCTGAAGTGATTGAAATTTGTTGCTGTAGCTGTTATCATTCTATAAATTATGACTTTATGATGAGAAGAGAATGAGAAAGAGCGAGAGCGAGAGCGAGAGCGAGAGCGAGAGAAGCAAACAAACAATTTAGGGTTTATCACGATTGCCTTTTTGAAGTACATTTGATGGACGGCAAATTTGCTGCCAGCGAACCCCGGATGAGTATTGTGGCATATAATTTTTGGAACTTTTTAATTCTCTTTTTTTTTAAGAGCGTTAATTGTCGCACGCATTGTGAATAAATCACTTTACTTTGTTAAAAAATGTAATTTCGAATATTGTAATTTATTGGACATGAATGATCATAAAAATACTGACATTTAGAATATCCTTCTGTGAACCCAAAAGTCCGATTTTGCATCGTACTATTTTACTTCCCTATAATTATATGAAAAACTTTTTAGTACGAAGTTCTAGACTCGCAACATATTCCACATTTTTATTTTTATACCCTCCACCTTGGAAAGGAGGGTACATTAACTTTATCATTCCGTTTGTAACATCCCTAATATTCGTCGTAGACCCCATAAAGTATATATATTCATAATCAGCATACGGTTCTAAGTCGATTTAATTTGACGTAGAGCGACAATATTTAGCAGAACAATTTGTATTGTGTCTAGGATGGTTAGTATTGAAAATAAGATACAGCGGTCCACGTTTTGGTATAGTCCCCATATAATGATACCTCCCGACATTCGGGATTTTGACACATTGTATGTACGCTTTGGTGTAGACCCCATATAACGGTACACATTTTTTTACGGATTTGTCTAAAAACTGGTATTTGTGCTTCCTTATGGTCCACGTTTTTTTATTGTCCCGTATAGCGGTGCATCCCGATATTTAGTATTTTGATTTTTATTTTTGCCACATTTTCCCACGAAGTTCTCTAAAAATTAGTATTTGTGGGTCATAATGGATTCTAATGTTTCCTTTGTCCTAAGGCGGAGGGTATTCAAAGTTCGACCCGCCCGAACTGAATGTTTTTTTACTTGTTTAGTTCTAAAATTACAGGATTTTATTTACACAAACTCAATTTTTTGATGTGGCTTGAATAGGAGTTTCTTATTTTCTGAGTGGGAACAAAATTCGTTCAAAGTCGAACAGATTGTACAAGTTTAGATTTTTTCATACCGCTGTGTATCTTTTCAGTGACCGCCCAACGAAACAAAATACCCAAGTTCGATCCGTCGCCGGATGCCGAAGTTCTGGAAAGCTTCCGATTTCGGATGCGTATTCGGTCCGACTTCTGACTGAAAGTTATATGGAGTAATTGACATTTTGTCGGATGAAAGTCTGAAGTTTAAGCCGACTTTCGAACCGAAGTCGGGCCTACTTCAAAAGAATATCCTTGAGAAATTCGAAATTGAAATTAGAGTTGTTGGACCGAACTCGGAAGTAAAATCGCATTTCTAATTTTGTTTTTCAACCTTCTAACAGTTTTCCGGCCGAATTCGGAAGAATGGTCTTATGAAGTGCTGATGTACATATTAACAACAACAAAATATTTGTTTGCATTCATTTCCACTCTTAGAGCAAACTATTTCTCTATTTTGAGCGATTATGTCCCCACTCCAACAATCCTGCTCCCCAGCACGTTTCGCTCCCAAGTGAAAATTAGCAAATGCTATGATTTTAACAGTGTCTCCATTTTTAGCTCCTTCTCTGATTATTTGTTGTCTTCTTTCAGATGTCATTGATTGGATTTTGGATAATATCATCGATAAGACCCGCACTCGAAGAGGTGTTTTGAAAAAACTAAAGGAAATGGGTCTGACATTTAAGGCTCCAACAAAGAAGTCAACAGCTAGTGCTCAGTCTAAACATCTGTGGAAGCCTGAGGAGGATGAAGAGTTGCGTTCACTCTATGATCAATATCGCACGGAGGATGGTAAGAGAGGTCGCTCTAAGAACTCATATCATGTAGTAATGTTTTTTTTTTTTATTTCCTTCCAGATTGTCTTCAACGTATCCTCGGCGAATTCGAGGAGAGACGCAACAAACAACAGATCATAAAGAGAATGTTACAACTACATATAATAGCTGATAAATCGGAAATATTGCCTCAGAAGCCAAGAAAACGTAAATCTAAAAAGAAGAACAGCGATGATGATGAGGAAAATGATGAATTTATGCAGGAAGAAGGCGGCATGTCGGAAAGAGCCAAGTCGTCGTCATCGTCGTCGAAACCATCTAAGTCACGTAAACCAGCCAAGTCTCAAAAGAGAAAAATTGTACGTACTCCCCTTGATGTTGGCACCGTCAGGGCTTTGCTGGGTCAAATTGATGCCGACAAATATCAGGAATCCATTGATTGGTTGAAGGAGTGTTTGGATGATGCCGCCGATGATGAGGATGAACCAAGCGAGGAAGATGATGGCGTACCGTTGTTGCCATTACAGCCCCAACAAAAAGAGGCTATGGAAGATGACAATTTCAAAAAAGTTTTGGTAGCTCTGGGTATACAGCCACCTGTTTTGGGTATGGAAACCTATTGGCGTATACCGACCTATTTGAATTCGGCCGATTTAAAGTTGAGAGCAAAAATTGTTGCTGGTGAAGAGGTGGAAATTGATGTTGAGGGTATCGAAGAAGACGACGACGATGAAAGCGACAATGCAGATGACGCTGGCGATGATAATGGCAGCGAAAGCGAAGATGATTACTTGGAATCCTTGGCCAATGCCAAAGACCGTGAAAAGTTGGACAACTTAGAAAAGATTCGTGATCAGCAAAGATCGAAACTGAATAATTTAATGTTCAGCAAGAGCGATGAAGAAACTGAGGAACGGGCTCCACTGCAAGCCAAAAAGAAACCCAAAACAAAAAAAGAAACTCAGAAGAAAAAGAAAAAACCAGCAAAGTCTGATGACTCTGACGGTGAAGACCCAGAATTGGTGAATAAAATTAAAAAGAAATTGGATAAGAAACGCCGTAACTACGATTTGAGCAGTGAAGAGGATAATAGCGATGCAGAAGATACCTTTAAAATGCCAGCTGAAAAAGCGGTGGAAAAGCCAAACACCGTAGATCTTTTTGACCAACTAAAGGCCAAGAGGGCTAGTAGCAAAATCAAACTTAGCGATATGGTTGATGAAAAGAAAACTGCTGCAAAAAATAATGCCACCGAAGATGATGATGAAAATGATGATTTGAATTTCAATTCTGAGGATTATCGCAAACGTTTGGCGGAATTGGGTGATGATGATGATGACGACAACGAGGATGGTGGCGTGGAAGAACAAGAAAAAACTATTATCAATCGTTCTCGTCGTGCTAATGTAATTGAATCCGATGATGACGACGATGATACTAACAAGAAAGGTAATCCTGATGAAAATGCTACTAAAAAACGTCGTCGTTCTGTGGATGCTCATGGCGAGGAGACAGATAAAGATGAAGAGGATGAGGATGCCATGTTCTTATCGCGCAAGAAACCTTCTGCTGCAGAAAAACTTGCTGCCGAAACCGGTGAAGAACCAGCTAAACGTCGTCGCCTGGCCATCGTTGATGATGACGATGAAGATGATTATTAAGCAATTCTCTTCATTGTCCTTTGCTGTTGTATGCAGTGACTTTTCCCAATCAATTCTTTCAATTTACTTCATGTTTGCTTTGATTCCCGATTCCAACATCAACCATTTCGATTTTGTCGTATCATTTTACATACACTTAATTGAACAAAAATTACTGCACGGCATGCCAGCCAGCATCCGGATTCTCAAAATCAAAACTTCGCTGTTGTTTTGACATTTCCCTTTTAATTCTCTGCTCGCTTTGTCATTGCCATTTCCGACAATGGTGGTGGCATATGTTTCCTTAACCGAATGAATATCCAGCATTCGTGGCGTAGCATGGCAGCATTATTAATCTCTGTCCGCTAATGATAAAATGTCAAAGTTTTATCTTTCACTTTTCACTGCATACAACACGATATTATTATTCATTTATTGCCTTTTGTTATATCCTTTTTTTCTTCTCTTAACATCTTTTCTTTTTTTTTTTTTTGATTTTCTTATTCCTTTGTGTAAACGTTGTGTATTTTTGATTGCACTTCGTCGTATCGTATCGCTTAATTCTCTATGTTAAATAAAGTTAAATGTTTCCTTTGCATCTTAAATTGAATGTTTTATTTCTTAATTAAAATGGACAGACAAATGTCCTTGTGAAACGAAACGATAATGGATAATGTGAAATATCTGTTAAGATAGTTGATAATGGGGAAATCAAATATTCGTTACGTGTAAAGTTGTTGATTATAAATTTATACAGTTTTTTTTTTTTAAGAAGAGCGAATGAATTAAACTTGTGTGGTCAGAGTAAATTTGTAGTTGAAAGGAAACCTTGATTTTAAATTTCCCAATTGTGAAATGGGAAATAACTGACTGACTGACCTAGATTCAAGATTCACATGAAGTTAGAGTCTTGAAATTTTCCACGAGGGTCAGTCTTAGTGAGTAGGCATGTTATCAAGCTGGGGTTTTTTTGCGAATTCGTACGAAGAGTATTAAAATGTACTAAAAATTTAATATTTTGTATTGGACAAAAGGATGATCTAGAATTCTAGAAATTTGGAATAAGAGTTCTGGGGTTTTGGCGAATTCGTACGAAGAGTATTAAAATGTACTAAAAATTTAATATTTTGTATTGGACAAAAGGATGATCTAGAAGGTAAGTTTGATATATAAAGGTTGTTTTGGAATTGTGTAGTAAGTGTACGAGCTGTACTACATCTGGAACAGTTTGGTTTAGGGTGCACCGATAAAGCTGGAATTTCAAAATTTTGTATTTGGTTCCCTGTAGGTGGTAGATTTGTGAAAACACTTGAGCTGGAATAATGGAATTAAATATAGAGGCCTCAGTTGGTATCTGGAATTGACAAGTGGAAGTGGATTTGTAAATGCGTACTATGGTACAAAATTTACCATTGGGTATTGGGATAGAGATGGTAATTTGGTATCGAGGTCACTGTTGCTGTACAAGCCGGAGAGAAGGAGGTGGAATTAGATACACGTAGGATATCTGTGCATGAGTATGGTAATAAATTTGGGATTGGATCTTAGGATAGAGCTGAAGTTCTGAAATTGGAAATCGGAGGTGGACTTGGAAATGCGAAACATGATTGTTCGAAAAGTACTAAATGATACTAATTTGCCGTTGAGTGACTGGGCAGAGGAGGGGCCTTTTGATTGTTTTTTTAATATGGTTAAAACTTGCGTTGAGCGAAACTAAAATGCACGGATTCTAAGAAATCTGAATCCAAAAATTTCCAAAAGTGTGAAAAATGGGGGAACTTACCCTCTCTATATTGGTAAATTTTCGATGTAAACTTTCCAAACGCCAATACACGTGTCTTCTTTTTACACCCTACACCACAAGGTGGCCAGGGTATTATGTCTTGTGCATGTATTTTTGTTAACAAAGTACAGTTCGCATTTATTGTCCTATCCAGATGAAATTTTGCACAAATCATTTGTTTGGCCCAAGGACGAACGCTATTGAAATTGGAGATAATCGATCAAAATTTAGATATAGCTCCCATATATATCTCCGTCCGATTTGCCTTTTATTGTGCACCAAACGTGTAATATCAGCTCGATTAGTATGGAATTTTGCACATATAACCAAATTAGGCCTTAAAATAAGTATGCCAAATTTGATCGAAATCGGCTTAGATATAGCTATAGCTCCCATATATATTGTTCATCCGATTTGTTATTTTTGTCCTCCGCAGCCGTAATATGCACTATGTATGTGTAACAATAATATTTGGAGAAATATATCAAAAACAGCTCAGAAATACATTTGCTAAATTTTATCGAGATCAGTTCAGATTTGGATATAGCTGCCATGCATAACTTCGTCCGATTTACCTTTGATTGTGCACCAAACGCCTAATATTTGCCCAAATGATATGGGATGAAATTTGGCACTTACGACCCAAGCTAGAAGCTAGTATGTCAAATTTGGTGAAGATCGGTTCAGATATAGCTAAAGCTTCCATATATACTAATCATCCGATTTGTTATATTTGTTACCCACAGCCGTAATATGCACTCCGTAACAACGATATTCAGGGAAATATATCGAATACAGCTCAGAAATATCTTTGCCAAATTTTATCGAGATCGGTTCCGATTTGGATATAGCTCCCATATATATCTTTATCCGATTAAATGGCCAATACAAGTCCGAATTTAAAAATTTGAACTTTAAATTGTAATTATAATCATAGCGTGTATGATTGAATTCTCCCATAAAAATGTTTAATTGTTATGCGGAGCTCTGCTAAATTAGGAAAGTGGTGTAGGGTATCATAAAGTCGGCACGTCTGACATTAAGACTTTTTTTTACTGGTTTAGCTTTATTTTCATATTCCGTTAGATTTTCTCCGTAGTTATTGACAAAAAAGTTTGTGTGTGTGAAAATGTTGACCATGTGTTGGTAAGGGACCATGGGTGTGGCGATTTTAGATAGAACTATTACGATACACTAGGCCTGCAATAAACCATTCTAAAGTTATCGTGCGCACAAACAGACAGATGGACTTCGTTAGGTCAACTACAAATATAATTAAATGGATTTCGTTAAGGAGAATTTGGGATCTAAAAACATTATTTCGACAAAAAATATCTTGGTCGTATCAAATGAGGGTATAATTTTGAAATCGAAGCTAATTTAATAAAGTAAGTTGATGTTAAAAAATTAACGAATTGGTTTTCTAGCACTTTCCGTAGTGCTCATACACACTTTGTTTCTTATGAAGAAAGAATGCTTATACTTTTTTGAACATATTTATTAACTCTTGTTATACCCTCCACCATACTAACACCTCGAAATACTCATGTCAGACCCAACATAGTATATATATTCTTGATCAGCGTAAAATTCTAAGTCGATTTAGCGATCTTCGTGTGTCCGCCTGTTTGTTGTAATCATCTTTCGAACGAATTGAGATAGAAGGCTAAACTTTTGCACACATGCTTATTTTTCCAGCAGGCAGGTTAAGTTCGTAAATGGGCCATGTAGGTCCACGTTTTCATATATTTTGATGATTTTAGCGACATTATTCTCCGAAATTGTTTCAAATTTGGTATTTGAAGTTCGAAATGGAAACTACAGTCTTTGACAGAAAATTGTCTATGCAGGTCCAGGTTTTCGTATATGCCTCATATACCAGCACCTCCCTATATTCGGTATTTTGACGAGTTTAGGTACAATACCCACCGAAATAGTTTGAGATGTCGTATTTGAAGCTCGTAATGGATGCTACAACCTATGACAGAAAATTGTCTATACTGGTCTAGGTCTTCGCACAGCTCCGATATAACGGTACCTCCCCATATACAATATTTTGGTGATTTTAGCTACTTTATTCACCATTTATTTCTAGTTGTGTGTAATTCGATTCAAACAAGCTCAAAATATGTCCTTCCACTTTGCATATTACTTGTAATAGATTTTCTATCAAGTATGAGTTGTGGCTTTGAAATTGCTTCTCCGGCTGGTCAATCATACAAATGATTTCCACAAGAATAATGGTGGTGTACTTGCTATGGGATTCTCATAAAAGAAATTTGTTCTACAGTGTGATGAAGAAATCATGGCGGGTGGGGCCTGTGTACACCGCCAATACCATTGCTGCATAGCAAATCTGAAATTGTTTAACAGCTGTGGCTTATGGCCAGAAACAAATTGTTATGGTGACCCGGGTGGCAGTAAATATGAGTGGTAGTTTTTATTGGGGTTATCCTCAATGATGTTGGCCTGTGTAATACGTATCATTGTGTTGTATTGTTGATGGTTCCCCTAGCCCTTGTTAAGAAGACTAGCAGCAGCAGGCCGGCCGGTTGGATGGTCGGTAATTGCCTGAATATTTGAAGAATTTAATAAAAATTTCCCAAAGTATTTTGCAATGTTACATCTATTGTTGGCCATTAATTGGTTCTATTCGGTTTATTGTGCCCAAGCAACGAGGATGTTTTACATTGTTCCCCCATTTTTTTTTTGTGTTTTGGTTTTCAATTGTAAACATCTCTTCTTATTCTCCCTTTTTTCGTTAATAAAAAGTTTTCAATTGTTTCCGTTTAACCCTTCATTATTTTCAGTTCATTGTTGTGGTGTGGTTTTGATTTCTGTGAATACTCTCCCATGTGGTTGATGGAAAACTTTTATTATTATATTTTTCCAGATAACATCATGAGTTAACAAGACCACAGAATATACAAAAAGTTATATGTAACCCAATAGTAATTGTATAGTTGAATAGTTATTGGGAAACGAGCAAATATGGGGAATTGGGGGCAAACAGAACGGAAGAAGGCCATGGAAAGATTTAAATGATTATTGCGATGTTTAGAATGTTCGTTGAGAACGGCTCGATCGATTTGGATAATATTTTTTTTTTTTTGAATGTTCATTTTACCTAAATTTGGGTTTTTAAGGAAAGCCATTTTGACCACTCCCACTATTTTCGATCTATCTAAAATCGCATCATTTTTTAAAATAAAGCGGTTGGAAAATTAGTTGACTTTTGAAAATTTCTATATTCGCAGCTTATCAGTTGAGATAGAAGGGTTCCCTTTGACACGAATTGTGTTTCAGTTATTTGTAATTGCAGTGGGAAGTTTTTCTCCCAAAGAAAATCGAAAATTGTTTATTCTTGTGCATGTCTGGCAATGTTAGTGTGAAGGGGTGAGCTAAGGCTAGGTTTTTAGAAAATGAAACTATAATTGTACAAAATAGTACTAAAAATTTTGGGTTACAATTTTTAATGAGGATCGCTGATGGGGTGTATGATAGACGTACCAATGTTTTTTTATACCCTACACCACAAGGTGGCCAGGGTATTACGGCTTTGTACATTTGTTTGTAACAGGCAAAAGGAAACGAGATAGACCCATCGTTTCTTTTGATGATCTGACGTCCGTCCTCTGTCCATGTATTTTTGTAAACAAAGTACAGGTCGCACTTATTACCCGATTCAGATGAAATTTTGTACAACTAATTTGTTTGACACAAGGACGAACCCTATTGAAATTGAAGATAATCGGTAAAAATATAGGTATAGCTCCCATATATATTTTCGTCCAAGTTGCCTTATTATACCCTACACCACAA